GGTCATGCTGTCTCTTCTCCGCAACAGAAACCCTAAGACAGTACCCAAGGACTAACCCTACCCCCTAGCCCCCCCACCAACCCCATCCCAACCAACCACAGGCCTCACCTTCACACGGTCAGCACTGCTGTTGAAAAGGCCAATTCGGCGGATGGTGGTCAGGATGGGGTCTGAGGAGTCGTCTAGCATGTTGTGGGTGCACACAGGGGGGAAAGACTGCCGCTGTAGAAAGCACGAGTGAGGTGGGGGTCAAGGGAGGGACAGATTTGCTACTTGCTCAGGGGCCATGCTGATGCCAGGGATCTGAAGATGTCCCCAACAGAGGCCAACAAATTCCAGACTGGAACCCAGCATTTTCCTATAACTATCATGAGCAAAGCCACCACCACAGCAGAAAACCCAGTAAACTGAGGCAGAGCTGATCTGAGGCGCTCCACAGATGACGAGGAAGTGTCTGTCCTTAAGAAATCCCAAGAAACCTCGGCAAGATGAAAGCAACCACGTGGCTCTACAGCCACCTCAGCTGATGTAACCATGTAACATAAACCAGAATGGCAGCAGGATGCTGACTCTGTCCCCCCCAAAATAAGGAAATCCCAAGGAAATTTAAGTGCCCCCAGCCAAGTGGGCAGTTGTGTCCATTTGATAACAAGCTGTAAGGGCAGCTGGGAGTTGTAGTTTTCTTAAGAACCCAGGAATCATAGCTGCAACTCACAGATAGATTGATAGGAAACCCTAGACTTTTCTACTAGGAAGAGCTTATGACAGTCTTGCACCACCTCGCTAAAAGACACACACAATGGCGGTGTATGAGGGCCAAAAACTACAACTCCCACAAGGCAGCGGTGGCGCATGCCTCTAATCCCAGCACTCAGGGAGGCAGACCCAGGCAGATCTCTTGAGTTTGAGGCCGGCCTGGTCTACAGAGTGAGTTCCAAGACACCTGGAGATACATAGAGAAACCCTGTTTCGAAAAGAAAACAAACAAACAAAATGAACAAAGAAACAAAAACACTACAACTCCCAGTAGCCCACGTTAGCATTATTCAAGAAGGAAGTGGCTGCCTCACTTTAGAAATATTTTCTCCAGGCTGGGCGGTGGTGGCCAGAGGCCTTTAATCCCAGCATTCGGGAGGCAGAGGCAGGAGGATCTCTGTGAGTTCGAGGCCAGCCTGGTCTACAAGAGCTAGTTCCAGGATAGGAACCAAAAGCTATGGAGAAACCCTGTCTCGAAAAAGAAAGAAAAAGAAAAAGAAAAAAAGAAAGAAATATTTTCTTCAATAGCACATCCTACCCCATTAGTCCATGTTAGCTGTCTAGATTCCCAAACAGCCTCATCAATGTGGACCATAAGCACCAAAGCCCATGACACGCTAGAAATGAAAGAACTCCCAGCAGCCTCAGGGGCAAAGGAAGTCAGTCAATAAAGATCAAAATGTAGTTCTTATTTCATGGGCCTCATCTTCCTAATGCTTCCCATTCACTTAATTCCAACCTCAGGAATCAGAGGGTTCTGAGGGAAATAGGACACAGCCATGGGAGTGAGCTAGGGGACCCGTGCTTTAATCCCAGCACTCCAAAGGCTGAAACAGGAAGATCTTTAAGTCTGGGGCCAACCTGGTCTACATGGAGAGATCCAGGACGGCCCAAGGCTAAGCAGAGAAAATGTGTCTTCAATAATAAGACAAAAAAAAAAAAAAACAAAAAAACAAAAACAAAAAACCTACCACCATGGGCTGGAGAGATGGCTCAGCAGTTAAGAGCACTGGCTGCTCTTCCAGAAGTCCTGAGTTCAATTCCCAGCAACCACATGGTGGCTCACAAACATAAGATCTGATGCCCTCTTCTGGCCTGCAGGAATACATGCAGACAGAACACTGGTATACATACTAAATAAATCTTTTTTCTTTTTGATTTTTGGAGATAAGGTTTCTCTGTAGCTTCAGGGCCTGACCTGGAACTAGCTCTCGTAGACCAGCTGGCCCCAAACTCACAGAGATCTGCCTGCCTCTGCCTCCTCCCAAGTGCTGGGATTAAAGGTGTGTGCCACCACCTGGCCCAATAAATCTTTAAAAAGAAAAAGAGGAGCCGGGCGGTGGTGGCGCACACCTTTAATCCCAGCACTCGGGAGGCAAAGACAGGCGGATTTTTGGGAGTTCGAGGCCAGCCTGGTCTATGAGAGCTACTTCCGGGACGGGCACCAAAGCTACAGAGAAACCCTGTCTCAAAAAACCAAAAAAAAAAAAAAAAAAAAAAGAAAAAAAAAAGAAAAAGAGGGGGCTGGAGAGATGGCTCAGCAGCTTAGAGCACTGCTTATTTTTCCTAAGGTCCTGAGTTCAATTCCCGGCAACTACATGGTGGCTCACAGCCATCTTTAAGAGGATCTGCTGCCCTCTTCTGGCATAAAAGCATACATGCAGGCAGAACTCTGTATACGTAATAAATAAATACATCTTAAAAAATAAACACACACACACACACAAAAAAAAAAACACCAGCACTCGGGAGGCAGAGGCAGGCGGATCTCTGCGAGTTCGAGGCCAGCCTGGATTAAAGAGTTAGTTCTAGGTTCTAGAGCTGTTACACAAAGAAACCCTGTCTCCCTGCTCCCCCTGCCCCACAGACACACATTAATTAATTTCAACCCCCCAAATAGCTGCTCCTTGCTACCTCTCTCTGTCTAATAAGAGCCATGACTAACATAAAGCCTTCTGGGCTGTATCAACTTAGTGAAACCCTAGTTTCCACCAAGACTGGAAATGCCGCCAGACAGCATAAGTCTCTAACTGAGATTTCTCCCTTTGCTGGAACCCTTCTAACCGGATGTCTCCACCAGCGTGTTTTAAAACACCTTATGCTATTACTTTCTCTGTTCTGTTACCATACAAAGTCAAAAAATGGTTACTATATTGGAACATGGTGTTCCAAGTGACCTAAATTTGTGTGCCTGGCCCAGTCATACTCGGCTACAGAATAAACTGTCTTTCTCTCCGTCTTTCTCTTTTGGTTTTGTTTTGTGTGTTTGAGACAGGGTTTCTGTGTATAGTTCTGGCTGACCTGGAATTCACTCTGTAGACCAGACGGCTTCAAAATCAGAGATCTGCCTGCCTCTGCCTCTGCCTCCTTAAAGGTGTGCGCCACCACCACCAGGCCAGAATAAACAATCTTATTTCCTTTGATGTGGAAGTTGTGTTTTTACATTGACATTTCTGTGGATCTCAGAATTGGCCCTCTTTGAAGGGTCACCCAAGAGAATAGAACTCCCAGAAACTTTTGGGGCAAGAGGCCTCAGGAAATGCTGGGAACGGGATGCAGACCATACCTGAGTAGCAAAAATGGCTCTCTTCATCATAGTGAAGTCCTCCTTGTCCAGCATCTTGTTCATGTCTGGGAGGCTCCCCCTGCAAGGGGAGAGATAGGCATTTGGAAAGGAAGTGGTAAACAGCTCAGGTTGGGTGACCAATGACGGCAGGATCAGGGCTGGGAACTCACACTAGTAAGGACTCGTAAAGCTTCCTCCCGAATTTCTCCTTAACTGTATTGGCCGTGTCCCTGGAAGGGAGAGAGACAAATGTCACACACACACCAGCTACTGTTTACTGTCAGGCTTTGGGGCAACAGGGAAACTGAGATCTGTGCCAAGAAGCAGGCCCTGGGGGGCTTCAGACTGGGGGTGGGAATGGAGGAAGCTTCAGCTCCTTGAGAGGTGTGGCTGGAGACAGGTGGCCTTTCCTCTGATGTCAGCGACTCATCTATGAGGGGAGTGTAAAAATAGAAGGACCTCGGAGCTGCAGAGAGCCTGCGAGGCCGGGAGGAAGCCCAGCCACAGAGCCTTCCAGAAATGTCAGCTATTATTAGGGTCTGGGTGAACCTTGGAACAGTGATGCGAGGCCCTGTTTTATAAACAAGAGGAATAATATTCTGAGAGAGGAACATCTTGGCACACAAGCTCGGAAAGACTATCACCCTACTGTCTCATGACTTACGATCCTCCCAGGGACACGCTGATCTAGCCACCTGGACCCCTCTCCCTGACCCCCTCCACACCCTGGCCTCAGTGTGCTGGCTAGTATGACCTTGGACTTCTGGGCCTTCGGTGTCCCCTTCCCAACTGTTGGGATTAGAGAAATGGACCACAATCCGGGTCTATGCAATGCTGGGGACCGAACCAAGGGTCTTAAGAGTGCTGGGCAAGCGCTCTACGGACCGAGCTGCCTTCCAAGCTCGCCCTCACTTCAACATGCACCTGCTTTCGCCAGGGTTAGAACAGTGCCCACAGGCGGTAGATTTTCAGAGGCTGGGGGACAGTGAATGCATGGGTGTCAGAGAGCAGGAAATGGGCGCAGGAGGGACGCGGTGAAGGAAGGTCACAGCCGGCCGGCGGCAGGGCAGAAACTGTGGGGGGTCATCTGCCCTGATCACGTGCTCACACTTCCAGCCAGACCACACGCTTTAAGTGAAGGTTTTACGAGGAATGGGTGTGGCGTCCTGATCAGGTCAGAGATAGCCACCGCAGAGAGATGAGCTGTGGAACCCCAGGGTCAGCTGGGCAAGGACTGCTGACCAGAGCTGTTTGCGCACGGCTTGGCCCTTCAGGGTCTCCACGTTGAAATTGTTGGTCCGGGCCGGCATGATGAAGAAGGCAACAACTGTCTGCTCGCTGCCGTTCACCTGGGACAAGGAGCACAGGGACACCAGGACGCTAGACTCAACCATGCCATCGCGGCTAAGAACTATGTGACTTCTGATTTCCTTTTTTATCACAATATAGGAGATTAAAATCAAAGTCCCCTGCATAGGTAGGTGCTGTACCATTGGTCACACCTCTGGCTCTCACTGGGCCATCCTAGGCAGGGGCTCTGCCCACACTGAGCCACATCCTCAGCCCATCTATGTAGGTGCCCAACCCTGAGCCAAGCTCCCAGTCCTGCTTCCATGCCCCCCTCGCCCCCGCCCCTGCCCTGCCCCCAGAATTCCGGGATAGCAGGCCTGTGCCACCAGACCTGACTGCTTATCTTCTGGGTCTCTGTGCTCTGCTCCTACCCGAGGGTTTCCATAACCACCCCGTAGGTCTCCCTTCTCCCTGGCTATGGACACTTTTTCTCCTCCAGCTCCCTCTCCATGGACCAGGCCTTACTCTGAGAAGATAGTTGAGCCGGGCTAAGGCTTCCAGGAACACATCAGCTCCCTTGTTGGAGAACTCATAGCGGCCAGCAATAAAGAAATACAGAGTCTTGTCTAAGTTGAAGTCCAAGTGCCTAAACAAGTCACAGGAAAGAATGAGGTCTCAGTTCCCAAGCTGGGTCTGAAAACTACGAACCCCAGAAGCCACCAGGCCAAAGCATTTTTTATAATACACTGGTATCAGAGGTCACGGTCAGATTGGAGCATTTTCTCCTTTGATGGGCATTTAATTAACATCCATTACACAGCTCTAGATGTCAAGAAATAATGAAGAGGGCCGGAGAGATGGCTCAGTGGTTAAGAGCACTGATTATTCTTCCAGAGGTTCTGAGTTCAATTCCCACAACCACCTGTAATGAGATCTGGTGCCAACTTCTGGCCTATAGGGACACATGCAGGCAGAACACTGTATACATAATAAATAAATCTTAAAAAAAAAAAAAGAGCTGGGTGGTGATGGCGTATGCCTTTAATAACAGCACTTGGGAGGCAGAGGCAGGCATATCTTTGTGAGTTCGAGGCCAGCCTGGTCTGCAAGAGCTAGTTCTAGGACAGGCTCCAAAGCTACAGAGAAACCCTGTCTCAAAAAAAAAAAAAAAAAAAAAAAAAAAAG